GCTGAATCTGTAGCTTACCATGCTCAGAATACTCCCCCAGTTCCACCAAAACCACAGCCAAAAATCCAGGAGAAGTCTGATGTACCTGTAAAAAGTTCTCCACAAGCAGCAGTTCCCTACAAAAAAGATGTGGGAAAAACTCTCTGTCCTCTGTGCTTTTCAATCCTAAAAGGACCCATCTCTGATGCACTTGCACATCACCTGCGGGAGAGGCATCAAGTAATTCAGACAGTTCATCCAGTTGAGAAAAAGTTAACCTACAAATGCATCCATTGCCTCGGTGTATACACGAGTAACATGACTGCCTCAACCATAACACTGCACCTTGTTCACTGCAGAGGAGTTGGGAAGACTCAGAATGGCCAGGACAAAAGCACCTCTTCATCTCGGCTAGGTCAGTCTGCAGCTGTAGCACCTGTAAAACGTACCTATGAACACATGGAATTTTCTCTAATGAAGAAAAGGAAAATGGATGATGATGACTCCCCCTCTGCCTTTGAGGAGAAGCCTGAAGAACCTGTAGTTCTAGCACTGGACCCCAAAGGTCATGAAGATGATTCCTATGAAGCCAGGAAGACATTTCTTACAAAGTATTTTAATAAGCAACCATATCCCACTAGGAGAGAGATTGAAAAGCTGGCTGCCAGTTTGTGGCTATGGAAATCTGATATTGCATCTCATTTTAGTAACAAAAGGAAGAAATGTGTTAGAGATTGTGAAAAATACAAACCTGGTGTGCTGCTTGGCTTCAATATGAAAGAGTTAAACAAGGTTAAACATGAAATGGATTTTGATGCTGAATGGCTGTTTGAAAACCATGATGAAAAGAATTCCAGAGTCAATGTTAGTAAAACTGTTGATAAAAAAATAAACTTGGAAAAAGACAATGAAAGTTCCTCAGACAGCTATGAAAATATAGAAGAGGAATACAATGAAAGCAGTAGTCCATTTGGTCAGCATATTTCTGATGTTGGTGGGAAAACCTCTTCTGATAGCATAGTGGAGAACCCAGAGAACAGCATATCCAAGGAAATAATTGAGGAAAACACATCACAGTCTCCAGAGAAATCTGAACAAAAACAAGAGGAAAGCTCAAAGTATGAAGAGATTATTTCTGCTGAAGAACCAACAAAACTGGTAGGTGATGTTTCAGATAGTGAAGGTGATCAGGATGATCAGGATGATGCTGTTGAATGGAAAGATGGAGCTTCACAATCTGAAAGTGGCCCTGGTTCTCAGCAGGTTTCTGATTTTGAAGATAATACATCAGAAGTAAAACCAGAAGCATGGACAGATGAATCCTCCCAGAGTGAAGATGCTGGTAGCAGTAAACCAACTGTTGAGACAAAAGGAGGTGGATCTGAAAGTGATGAAGAACAGTCCAAGTGGAAGAATCGTTCCTATGGAAAAGTAGACGAGTTTTGGTCTAAGGACCAGTCACAATGGAAAAATGCATCGGAGATTGAGGAGACCTTGTCAAATCAGCAGATGGAATGGCAGAATAGCACAATTGACAGTGAGGATGGAGATCACTTTGACAGTGTGACTGATGGGGTAGCAGAACCAATGCACAGCAGCTTAACTGGTGTGGAGCTGAGTAGCCAGCAAGCATAAGCTGCTGGATTCAGAGGTGTCAGTAAAATGATCCAATCTACAACTGTCTAAACACTTTCATTTCAGTATGACTGCTAAGCTTCAGTTCTAACTGGTACTGCCTTTCGAGTGCTAGGTCATGGCATGGGGTGGTTCTGGCCACTGTTATTCCAGTGGTTATTTAAGGTTGCTGTTGGCTAATCTTGCTTCAGAGTACCTGCTGGGATGAGCAGAGTAACTTAATGTGAAAACCGATAAGCTGGTGGCTCCAGAATGCACAGAGAGACAAGCAGAGGTTACTTTATCTGCATTTTCAACATTTATTTCATTCTTGTACATGTTCAGTTGTATGTCTTTTTAAACATTACCCTTTTTCACATGGTAGAAGTGTAGGGCCAACCATACAAGCTACCAGTTCAACGTGTATAGTAGACTATGGGGAAATTGATTTTTTCATGTATCATTCTGAATAGTTGAAATGTATATTTGTACAGTCTTTTAGACCTATTCAGGTGAAGCTTATGAAATTGTTCTTGTGTACCCATCATAGATTTGTTTCTCTTTTTTTAGTGTTGCCCTGCTGTGTAATAAATGCTGTATCTAGTTTACCTAGCAAAAGCTTGAAACTGCTATAGTATGAATTTTGACAAACTTAGTTTTTGCACATAACCTTGTACAATCTCAAAAACAGAGGCCAGCAACATAAAAAAATATATCTGGACTCTATTGTATTATAGAATTTTCTTGTTCTGAATATCCTTGACATTACAACTGATGACAAACGTATTTCAGAGCCATTTTCTGAAATCTTTTAAGCTAAAAAAGAAAAATCACATGCAAGAAACAAGTTTGCAGCTACTAATTTTGACACCTTTTAGATCTGTATAAAAGTGTATTGTGTTGAAGCAGCACACTGAAACAAAAGTGCTGTGTTTTGGGTATTTAGTTTTATCTTTAGTTAACACCAACAAGGTGTTGTATTCATTTATACCATCTAATATATGACACACTGTTGTAGTATGTATAATTTTGTGATCTTTATTTCCCTTTGTATTCTTCATTTAAGCATCTAAATAAATTGCTGTATTGTGCTTAATGTAAATATTTGCTTTATTACATGCAAGTGCTACATTCCTGTTTGGTAAATACCACCTTGCTACGTTAATTCCTTTCTTTTCCCTTTTTTTTTTTTAAAGTATTCCACAGCTCTGCTGTGACATGGATGTTTAGTATTTTCTTCCTGAAGAGACTGATCCCTTTCAAGGATACTGAAAATCTGACAAAACTAACTTTGATTTAATTTGTCTTCACTAGTTAGTATTCTATAAATCGAATTTTAGTGATCTGCTTATTGTGCATCCTGGGGAAACAAGGTCTATGAGTTCCTTGCACTTTTCATCCCTTTTTACTTACATGAATTAAGATCACGTATTGCAGTTATCTGGAATGTCTCTCTAAAGAATGATGTGTTGAGTGTAAACGATAGCCAAGGTATTTGAATCCTTCTCATTTAGGCATGAAGGAGCATACCTTGCAAGCTACAGGCTTGTGTTGGCTTTGAAGTAAAAGTAATTTGAATGCTAAAAATAAAAATGATTTGTTAAAATTTGGGATTCCTTTGGTCAAACCAGTCCTGTATTTTGGTGTGTGCAGCACAACAGAGAGCTCCATATGAGATAGTAGTTTCCTAATGGAGGGAATCCAGTGGTGAAAGGAACTAAACTATTTTAGAGATTTTTTTTTTAGATTTTCATTTAGACAAATGTTTTAACCTACTTTTTGATACTTTACAAGAACTAAATTGACCTATGAAAATTTCATTAATATTATAAAGGAGGAAATAGTTCTGTGCTCTTCAATGGTTTAAACAGCAAAATAATTTCACAGACATCTTGAGAAAACAGTTTGAGATTCCTGTAGCAGTCTCAGGTAGGCATAAACTGTACTTGCCAGGAGTGGAATGAATAAGCCCCTGCATAAGCCAAAGGTGAGAATACGTGTGTGCTCCCCTGTTCTGCAGGTAACTTGTGCTGCTAATGCTCTGGCATGAGTATTTCTGGGTTTTGTTGAACTAATTATGTGTGTGAAGTGATGCCTGAGTCCAGTTACCTTTAGGTGCAGATGGTTTAGATTTGTCTTCTTCTTTTCCCCTTGACAGAAGGGATACATACTTTTGTTCTGCGTTATTTGACTGAGAGGAGTGAAAGTTGGATTGGCTCCCAGTTATGCACTCAAGTGGTAGAAGATACATTTTTAAGAACAATACAAGAAAAAAAAACCCTGAGCCTCAACTCATTTTGTTAGCAGGTTTTCTGAACTATTTAATTGAAAGTAACTTTTCAGTATCAGGTAAGATTTTGATAACTACCACTTATGGATGTCAATCAGGTGGTTATCTTTTCCCCAACAAAGCCAGGCACCTAGAGGTTATTCCTTGCTAAGACAAGTTGATTATGTTCCTTTCTCCCTCTGTAGCCTGCTCTATTTCACAGGAGGTTACTATCTGAAAACATAAGGTATTTCAGAATTTGTTTTGTGCCATTTCATTTAGACTTAAAAGTATTTTAAAAATGTATTTGTAAAATCCCATTTAAAAAAAAAACGAAAAAAAAAAAAACCCAACAGTTTAGTGGTTGTACAACAACCTTTATCTGTTAATCAATGAAATAAAAACACTACTTTGTGTCATCTTACAAATCTGTCTATTTGTCTCAGTATCTGGCAGGGTTAATTTAATGTTAGTGAACTCTATAGTTAGAAGTCAATTTCCAAATTCTGAGCTCCTGTTTGTAGTCAGGGAATAGTAAGACTATGAAATATGAACTCTTTAGTAGGGCTTAATTTGTCAGCAGATTCCGTGATAGGAAATACCATTTTAAACAGTGATTAAAGGTCTTGCACAAAAATAGTCTGTCTTACCAGGAACATGAAGAAGGATTGGAGGAGGTTGTTTTAACTTTTGGCATAAACTTTCTAGGATTTCAAACAAGTTACTCTTCAAATCTGGATTTTAGGCTAGAAAAGAATTCCTTTTTAGATTTGAGGCTAACCACACATTTTTGATGAATTCAAGAAGCAGAAAAAGTAAATGGCCCAATAAAACTGGAGAAACCTTGAGATCCACTTTGTGTGATCTTAACATATCACACCATTGTCATTGTATGAGAGAGAACTTACCCAATTTTTACACTCCTTACTGAAGTTCTATAGCAGAACTTCTAGACATGTGCCAGCTGTGCTTGCAGAGTGGCCAGCTCAAGCTGACATCTAACGTCTGCTATTCTCGGGGAGACTGTGAGAACACCGCAGGCTTTGGACAGCATACCAGGGCAGAAAAAACATTAAATCTTCTCTAAATAAATTGTTTTAGGCAGTTCACCTGAATTGAAGCAAAGTGAAGTGTGTTTTCTATCTTAAATCCACTGTCTGAAACCTAAAGGTTGTAGGTTGTCAGAGTAGTGAATGGTAGGGAGGTTATTAGCATATGCACTATTTCTGGACAGGAGACAGCTTTGTACAACAAAACCTCTGATTTCAGGGCTGGTGTGACCTGGAATTTGGCTTTTGACAATACCTGAGACTGGCAGGTACAGTCTGGAGTTTGTTAAAGGTAGTTGAATTGTAGATGACGTTTTCTTTCTATGGATGGTCACTTGGGCTTGTAATAACTTACTTTGAAGGACTGTTCATTGCACTGACCTGGAGGTGAGACACAGTGGATTAACAGTGGATAGGTTGGTATGAGTAGGAGTATTTTGTTTCTATTATAACTAATTTGCCTCTCTAATACCATTACAATAGCCTGCATTGCAGGGGCAGAGACATTGACTAGTTCTGTCTTCCGTTACTTTAGCTTTTAATTCAACATTATCTTTCACCATCAGTTCCATTAATAAATATGAAAAGGTTGAGTTCATTTATTTCTGTATCAGAAAAGCATTGGTCTCTATGGTTACTTGAAGCTTTATTGCCACCTTAAGCTTTTTTTATTTCCCCTTTACAGAATGTGCATTGGCTCCTCCGTCTTGAGTTCTTCCACAGGTATTTTTGACATGAGCATTTATTTCTATTTCTCCATATTGTACTATATACAAAGCCAATAATCTGAAAATCATATAACCTTCTCTTCCTAACATTCAGGGAATTGGGTTGGTTTTGTTTCTGTAGACCTAGTTTGCAGTGAAAAAAAAGAGACATCCAAAGCTTCAGCAGGGGAGATGAACTTTGCTACTTCTGGTCCTGGTGAAATAGTACCTGCATTACAAAACTGCACAATCAAAGGCCTGTAACAGCTTTGCAGAATATTTATTTATACCATTCAAGTTCTGTTACACGACAGGTTTTAAAACTCTAGTTTTAAATAGAGTGCTGGAAGCTTCAGCCATGTGCAATTTATTGAATTTTAAAATTCTGACATTAATTTCATGCTCTCTTGTAAAATCCCAGCATTTGTGAAGCTGGCAATATTAGCACTTTAACAGTTTTAACATGCTATACTAGAGCACTCCAAGCTTCTCATCACTTTCAGTATAAAAATGAAGATAAACAAAGTGAGGTTTTATACATTTTCTTCATTTATTTAGGAAGTTTATCAAGTAAGTGCCAACTTCTGTGATCAAATCTTAGAATAAATTTTCCAGCCTCCATATAGCTATAATACTATCAGAAATGTTTAGCTTCCCTTTACCTAGCTAAGGATCTGAAATGTAACGCTGGCCTCTTCCTAGCATCATAAGGTATGAACTGTAAGAATAAACTCAGGCAGCCTTTCCTAAAAACCTTTTGGCAGTTAAAAATTAATGATTTTGATACTTAGTACCTACATAGTTCATAGGAAAAAAGTCTTCAGTTGGGTAGAGTTCGAGCAGGTCACAGGAACGTGCAGCTGATAGAGGATGCCTCTGAAACAAAAACGGGACAGAAATGAATCTTAATGAACAGGAAACAATATGATAAGGAATTGACTGTGTAAAAGAGACATGGGGTGGGGAAAGGAATCAGCATCTCAGAACTGAAGTTACTTTCCAATACAACATAATTGACTTTGTAAATAAATGCTGAAAATGTGAAGCTGTTTACTTTCACACCTGATTCTACAAACTTTGCAATTTTAGCTGGATTAACATTGAACATACAAAAATAGAGTAGAACACAGGGGAAATTAGTTTTAAAGCACAGAAAAATGCAAATTAATTAGTAACAGTGGAAGATACTGACTACAGAAGAAATATAGAAAGGGATTTGGTTTAGCTTCTGGGGTTTTAAGAATTCAAATAATTGATTAATCCTGAGTTGAGGAGATAAAATAATTTTTCTGTGGAGCAACAACACAAACCTCTAGCTAAAATCACAGTCTCAATGGAAAATGAAGAGCCTTTAGAAGTAGACTCAGGATTTCCCATAGCTCATGAAAACACTGTCCCACTCGGATTCATAACCGGTTATTTTAGAACTGCTTATTCTTAGCACTTACTATCCAGAATTCCTCCAAAGAGATGATGTCATTATTGCAATGAGAATTTACCTTTTTTTTTTTTGAGATCCCTGCAATAGTAATCTGATGCTTTGATGAATAATACCTTATTACTTACATAGTACAACAGATACAAGGATTTATAGATATACTTGGTCCCTTTTTGCAGGTACTGTGTTTTCTATGTAGCCTCTTGACACAGGTTATGCTTCTGGGTGACTTCTGTATGTGCCATAAACACAAAAGCCACTCCTGTTTTACATCTACCCACACCAAAGAATGCTCTTATTACAAGCTTATGTTAAAGGTACTGCTGCAGTCTTCATTATCTTAAAAATATAACTGCTGATTCTATAGTAAATGAGAGGGAAAGATAACAATCCATATGGCTTGACACTATTTTATGAGGAATGTGTCTGAGAAAAGCTTCCTTTCATGATGGTACAAATGCCACACAGGGTTAAAAGACAAGGGCATGAGGAATCTGCTGTGCACATCACACAGTCGGAAGATGAAATAATTCCTTTGTGGTTTGGCTGCTGTGAAACTTAAAGGAAAAGTGATATGGTTGCCTGCTAAGGAGGGGAGAAAATAGCTTGAAATTCCACAGCCTATTAAAATCATTGAAA